TCCGGGTTCGAGTCCTCTGTCCCTCTCGGAGAGCCCAGCAAGCTACTAAGAGTACCCCGCCTGTCTCCCTGTGGTATATTCAATATGCCAAAAACAGTAACAAGTCTCACAATGGAGATGTTACTGGTGCCCACTCAAGCAAATGGATGAACAATGGGAGGACAGTGCTAAATCATTTATATTAATTATGCTAAATAGATTATAGCCCTCCTAATATTTAAACACTGACAGTCACTGAACAGATGACTGGAAAGTAAAAGAATGGCTTACTACCTGATACTGGGAGAACCAAGGTTGAATTCAAATTATGAATCTTACAAGTGCCATGACTTTGAGCAAACCATTCAACCAACTCCCCTTTCTCATGCTCCAAAAATACTGTAACATCTACGAAAGTGATTGCCTTGAATGGAATGATGCAATAAAGAAGCTGTTTGTAAACTGTAAACAAATTTGTTTGTAAACAAATGGTAATTCACACTGTCAGGGACAGGAAGCATACAATTGCTAAGTTCCTTTTGTAGGTTTTTCGTAAAGAGTAAAAGATAAAAGTTATTCCTACAACCAAACCATCCTCTACTGTAAGCTAAAATGAAGAGATAAGACTAATAGAGGAATACTATGAAATGCTATCAAAGAAAATCTTCAGCCTGTCTATCAGGTGGCCAAGAATACTCTTATGGCTAAACATGCTTTGCTCATACTATAGGCTTGATAACCATGTGCTGACTTAACACTGATTTCATCAGTAGGTGTATACTGAATATTCAAACAAAAACCACTATAGCCAAATTAAATATTTGACACACAAAATGGAAATGTGCCAAGTTGTGTGACAGGTAAGAATATAGTTTTGGAAAAATAAAATTATATAATAACCCAAGAAGCTAATGGTAATACAGTTCATTTTCATTGGTAATAATGACAAAGTAAAATGTGGTCACAACAAGCAGGACATTGAGTAGCTATGGGTTGCACATCTACTCGGTAATTCTCAATCATAAATGTTGTTATCTCCTTTAGTTCCCTTAAAACATAAATCTAAGAACTGTTTCATTTGACAGTCTGTAAAAAAGAACCTATACCAAAAGAAACATTTTGAAAGGCTTACTACACTGATTTGCTTAAAGTATGCTCTGAGTTATGTTTGATAGCAGGAAACGTTATATCAAACCCATTAAATAGCGGGATTAATTTGCAACCGTATCAAATTGTTATAAAACCTGCTAAAATTTATCAAACTAGAAAGAATTAGAAGTTTTCTTCACTTCTATTTTCCGTAATACATAATGACTGAAAATAATTCATATAAAGCCATATCTGAAGAGAAAAGAATGAGAGAGGGATAAACACTTTATTCTTGGAAAAATATATAACTGAAACTTCCACAGAAAAAAGAACTACTTGTCATATATGTCTTTATTTAAACTAAAATCACAATAACTTCCGAAATCAAAAAGCACTAGCCTTAGTAATCACAAAATTCTCAGCAAATTAATTAATGCTCTGAAATCTGACTTCCTCAAATTAATATGGAAATCAAAATCTTTACCTTAAAAAATATTAAGGTCCTGTATAGCACAGAACCTCACTCAGGACATGCCCAATGAATGTTAATTTTTACCTGCACTCTTACCCTTCCTCGGCTAAAAGAAAATTATCACTAACATAACTCCTAAATTGTTACATTCAGTGTAGTGATGAATATAAATAGGTACTTGTGGTTACAGGTCCATAATACAGATAATTACTTGAAAATGAATAATGTCAAGATTGGTCAAATGCATTAGCTACTTGAAAGAAAATGGCAGGATGTGAAAAGCAACATTACTGTAAAGATAAAATCACTTGAGTTTACTCTTTTTTCAAAATTATCTTCTTTTAAAGGTAGATAATTCTAATAGTGAGGGATTCCTTCTTACTTTGTAAAATATTTTATTTTTACGACCAATTTGAGATCTGTAAATTTAAAATAAATAAATTTTAAAATTCATAATTTGAAAAAGTAATCCTTACTTGAGCTCCTGGATAAGGCCAGGTTCACAGATAAAATCCCAGAGAAGTTGCTGGTTTACATGACAAATGTCATAAAAACAGCTTCCTAATTTCAAACAAAGTGCTACTTCACTAAAATAAGCATTTAACTTCATTGAGAAAATGTACCCAACTTTCCAGTTATATACACAAAGTAAGAAATCAGTTCACATGACTAATAGAATAATTATTGTTTTGTTTAAACAATTACTATAACCACCATCACCATTACTAATCAGCAGCATCATAATCACTACCAGCTACTAACCTCTTGTACATGCTGATGTTTAAACCTCATGTAACTTCATGAACTAAGTAGCATACTTATTTAACCTAAAACAAAATAATTTCTTTAAATACTAAGAATGACCCCAAAGGGCAAGCTTTACCAAAGAAGTTCAGAGTTCCTGCTGTCAGGCTTCTCAAGTAAGCAGAAACCCAGCCATGTCCCTGGAAGCACCGGCAGACAGTCTCCTAAACAATTTACTTCAGAGGCCAATGAGAGCGTATAGAGGGTAGGGTGCTTGACTTTCATATGTCTGACCCAGCCTCAATTCCAGGCATCCTAGGTGTCCCCCAGAGAACCACTAGGAGTAATTCCTGAGTGCAGAGCCAAGAAAAATCCCTGCGCATCACTGGGTATGGTCCCAAAACTTAAAAAATAAAATAACTTCAGTGCTACTGACAACACTTAAATTTTACACTGAGATTCTGTAGGAATAATTGTAAAGACAGCCTCTTTAGTAGATGGAAAATTCAGTGTGGTAGACAAAGACATTAAGTCAGTGGTTTAGAGTATTAATTTTCATCTTTTAGCTTCTACTATAGTTATTGAAGAAATTAAGGCTTTGCTTTCAAAACTTTTTTTTTTTAACATTTCTCTTCCTGATGGATTTTCCATCTAGCTGCCTTAACCCTCTCTCTAATTACTTAAAAAAATCCAAATTTTTTCCCATAATAATGATGAATGGACCACAGTTGGAGGCCTACCTCAAGGGCAGGGAGAGAGGGCAGTTGGAATAGAGAATGGACCAATATGACAATGATGGTTTGAAAAGGGATCGCTCTGGACAGGAGATATGTGATGAAAGTGGGTGAAGGACCAGACATTGATGGCCTCTCAGTATCTGTACTGCAAACCATAATGCCCAAAAGGAGAGAAAGGGAGGGAGGGATGGAGGGAGAGATGGAGGAAGGGAGAGAGGGAGGGAGAGAGAAAAGAAAAGTGTCTCCCATATACTCAGGCTGGGGCGACGGAGCAGGAGGGATATGGGGGATATTAGTGGTGGGAAATGTACACTGGTGGAGGGATAGGTGTTGGAACTGTATGACTGAAACCAAATCACAAAAGCTTTGTAACTGTATTCCATGGTGATTCAATAAAAAAATAAATTAAAAAGTGGAAATTATTGATCACAAAAATGCTGGGCCATAAACCTTAAAGGGAAGATGAAGAGACTCCCAAGTTTCCCAAGCTTGATATCTCTCCATTCAATAAATACTCAAAATCTCTATTAGCAAAGAGTAGTTCATGGCAGTAGGTTCAAGGGAGCAGACTTCAGACAGACACACACAGCACAGGTGGTACCGCACAGATGATGCGACAACATCACTGCAGAGCCACTTGCCCTCAACCTGCAGCAAAGTGATTGCAGGTAAAGCACTCAGTTGGTTTCTGAGTCTCTGCCCCATATAATGAGGCACTTTGCCTCTTGTAATCATTGTTGGTCATCAAGTTTTAAAATTGCTCCTGTATATTCAGGGGAATGTTAAGTAACATGCTATACAACCGGGAATCATCAGTAAGTGTTTAGAATTTCAGAAACTCAAGTCTTGTGATCCAATCTACATTAAAAAAAAAAAATTGTTCCCATTTTTTTCTGTCACTGTGTAAAGGGTTAATTAAAACTTGCATTTGCCTGAATTAAAAAAAAAAATCCAAACCCTAAAATCAGTATCATTTAGGTTCCTGATGCCAAAAATCTGTTTGACAGAGCAGGCTTTTACTATTCTGACATTTTAACCGTAGCCAAAGTCCTGTTCCTACTAAATTCTGTCTTGGCACCACCAATAATTTGTTAAAAGCCTAAACTCTTCCTGGCTAAAAGTTTTCTACCTCCAGAGCTTTCTGAAGCAAGGCACACAGTAACAAACAAGTTGAACAGATCAAGTCCTTAAATTTCTACTCTTCCTACAGAAAGCTGGCAAATAAAAATGTGATGTTAAAATATGGAGGAATTACTAATGTTGATTATACCTAGAATTTTAACTTCATACAATACTGTCCTGTTACTGTCCTCCCGTTGTTCATCGATTTGCTCGAGCGGGCCCAGTAACGTCTCCATTGGAGACTTTGTTGTTACTGTGTTTGGCATATCGAGTACGTCGCGGGTAGCTTGCCAGGCTCTGCCGAACTTCATACAATACAGCATAATTATAAATACCTTCATAAGAGTAAATTATAATATTCTCACATTAGCTCAAGAATACAGCAAACACATAATCATTAAAACATTACCAAAGCTGGAGAGATAGTATAGGAGATAAAGCACTTGCCTTGCATACAGCTGACCCCAGTCGAATCCCTTGTACTGTAGAAGCAAACCACAACACTGTGCTCAGAACAAACCCTGAGCACTGCTGCATATGGCCCAACCCTCTCCACAACAAAGAATAGCCAGTAAAACATTACCTAGATTCATATTATAAATGACAACATTTTCTAAACTCACCTTTCTACATCGAATAGTCTTTTTAAATGCGGTAAAGACAAATTTTATGAAAATATTACCAGATTTTAAATTTTTAAATTTTAAGAATTTTATTAGATTTTAATTTTAGCAGATTTTAAGATTCTCCTCTCATTATTGCTGTCAAATTCTCAAATAAAGATTAATATTTCATTTGAGGGAGATTTTTAATAATTTTAAAATCAAACCATATAGAAAGTATTCGACTTAACTTACCCAGAGGCTGAATGTTAAAGAATTGGCAAAAGTGTTCCAACCAAATAAATTCACTTAATTCTTCAAGTAGATCTAATTATCATTGTCTTTTTAAAAATTCAAAGATGCCACCTAATGAATAAAGAAAAAGGATATAATTTACATAGAGCAACATTATATGATTTACATATTAATAGCACAGAAATAAGATCAAACTTACTACTAGATCTCCTCCTAAATTACTGTGCTAATAAAAAACTATAACATAAGAAAAGCATCTGGCTACTAGATTAAATTTTCCGGTTCTGGGTCAAATGAGTGTTTCCTTCAAGCATAAGGAAAACAATAAAATAATAACAAAGTGTAAGGGCAGAAGTTTCATATTCAGTACTAATTGGCAGAAGGAAATAATAGTTCTCTAAGTCAATTATAATACCCAAAATTAGAGATGAGGAAAAGAAGCAACTGATAGCTCTGGAATTCTAGCCATTGGTTCTAGTTAATGAGTCAATGAAAATGTACAGGTTGCAGTTCCATCAAGTTAAGTTCTAGTTACATGCACTCCCTCCCTGTGGTAGACTGTCAACTAAAAACAAGCATGAGATTCCAAGTCATTCCAAGAACCTTATACCAAGTTTTTCACAGAAATAATTTGTTCTACCAAAGATCCATACATAGCTTTATCACAGTGTGTATATATACACATTATATATGATATATATAATCAGTTTCACATTGCTTCTTCAAACCTCCTTGGTACCACATTCTCTATCCATTTCAGTAGAAGGTATTGAATCCGTGCTCTGTGCCACCAGGTACATGTCTACTTGACACTTGATACCTGTTCACTCATGATAAGGGCTCAGTTATTTTTTTTTTTTTTTTTGCTTTTTGGGTCACACCCGGCGATGCACAGGGGTTACTCCTGGCTCTGCACTCAGGAGTTACTCCTGGCGGTGCTCAGGAGACCATATGGGATGCTGGGAATTGAACCCGGGTCTGCTGCGTGCAAGGCAAATGCCCTACCTGCTGTGCTATGTCTCCAGCCCCAGGGCTCAGTCTTTCTTTGAATGAAATGTGAAGGTTCTGAGCATCTCTGCTCAGATCTTGGCCTGCACTATCTTGTGTTCTATAGAGAGCACTCTGCTGGTTGAGAGGACCAGAAAGGGGCAAAGGTGAAGCAGGGGGACAGCAACTACTTTGATGGTCAAGGTGAAAGAAAATAGTGGAAAGTGGCAGCCATAGAGGCAGTGGAAGTGACTTATGAATTATGAAAATAGAACTAACAATATATATGATTGGAAAAGAAGTGAGTAATAAGCTGGCTTATGACTTAATTCTATTTTCTGATTATGTCCCCTCAAAGGGCTGGAGCGATAACACAGTGGATAGGGTGTTTGCCTTGCACGTGGCAGACCTGGCCGGCCAGGGTTCGATTCCTCTGCCTCTCTCAGAGAGCCCGGCAAGCTACCAAGAGTATTTTGCCTGTACAGCAAACCCTGGCATTCTACCTGTGACATATCTGATATGCCAAACACAGTATAACAATAAGTCTCACAATGGAGACGTTACTGGGCCTGCTCAAGCAAATCGATGAACAACGGGAGGACAGTGCAGTGCAGTGCATATATAATCAGTAATTCACTTTATTTATGAAGGTCAAATATTAAAATTACTATCTCAGCACCAAGAGAAAGCACATTATTTTTCCACAAGCATTAGTTTAAAATGAACAGGATGTTTGAAGATTGAACAGAAGGATGCAACAGAAAACTGGACCATTATTCAGTTACTCCAAATTCAGGTATCAGGGAATAAATTTTGTGATAAATTTAGTATGTTTCTGATTCCCATAACATCAAATATAATCATGTTTTAGTGAAAGTCAAAAACCCATCTCATTCCAAAGTCAAAATTGCATTGATTATGCAATTTGGAATTAGTCGTATACTGTCACTCCCATCATTCCACCATATAATGGCAAAACTCATAGCATTTCATTTAAAATAAGAAGTGAAAATAGATCTATTATCTATTATTTTAAGGTGGGCCAGGTAAAACAGAAACATTGCTAATGAAAAACAAATACAATAATCATACCTGCTAAGAAATCCTCAGCAGATGTGAGAAATATATTTTCGCTTCCAGTATAACCTTTGTCTAGATGCTAATCTTACTGTTATTCAAGAAATAGTTACTTAATATGGATATAGAGTAAAAAGAGATCTGTATTCACAGAGATTATAGTCTTTATGTATTATTCTAGGGTTCGTGCCATAAATATGACAAGACAAATGCCAAATTCTGTGGTTATTTTAAATTACAATAGATCGAAAAATGTAAGCACCTAAACAATAAACTGAAAAAAGGCACAACCGAGTTTTCACATTTGATTATTTAGAGCTGTAAAAATACTATTTTATTTTTTCCAGGGCTTTTATGAAAGCATTACAAAGGCTCTTTCAAATGTTTGGTAGCTAGCTTCATAATATGATCTCTGAGTTCTTTCCAAGATGGTTTGTGTGCTAGTTCACAGTTTAAGTATTCATTGTTATCACTTTCCAAGAAATGAGCTATAACTCATACCCCCGTGATGTAGAATGACCTGAAAGATTCTCAAGAATCTGTTTTCTGTGATTTTTTCCATGTATAATGTGAAGCTGTACTAAAGTCTAGATCTGGGGCCAGAGTGATAGTATGCAAGGCAATGCGCTTCCTTGCCTTGTCTTGAATGGAGCCAACTCTGGCTGGCTACCATCCTGCAGAAAGCCCCGCAGCACCACCAACGGTCAGTCCTGGGCACAAATCCAGGATTATCCCATGAGTACCACTAGGGGCTGGACTCCTGCTCCATCCGCCCCACCCCAACTCAGCTCCCAAAAATACAAATGTTAGTCCTCTTTCTGTTCTTTTCCATTTCAAAGGTACTATTATTATGCCGTTCTTACTTTTGTTCCTGGCAGTATTAAAAATAAATAAATAAACAATTTGCACCAATAACTTAGCAAATTTGCTCAATTTTAATGTAACTATGGTTACCTAAATGAAGTTTCAAATTATTTAGCAATTTTTCAATGGGGGTATGGACACCTCATATTAATAAAGCAGGTAGGCAGATAGCAAAGGACCCCCTCACCCCTGGGGCAATGAGTTCTTGAGAGGTATCACTGTATCACTGTCATCCCATTGATCATCGAATTACTCGAGCGGAGGCCAGTAATGTCTCTATTCCTCCAGCCCTGAGATTTTAGCAGCCTCTTCTTACTCGTCTTTTCCCAAGGATTGGAGGCTCTTTCAGGGACAGGGGAATGAAACCTATTGTCATTACTGTATTTGGCATCTCAAATACGCCACAGGGAGCTTGCCAGGCTCTGCCCATGCATGCAGGATACTCTAGGTAGCTTGCCGGTCTCAGGTATAAATGGGTAGGAAGTGTCTTCTAATGTATCCGGAAAGCAGCCTGGAGTGTGGCAGTGGTTGGGCAGTGGAGGTAGGCTGCTGGGGCTGGGTCCCTTGGGGTGGCCTGGCGCGGAGAGGTAATAAAACCAAATAACCCCAGAGTTGATTTAAAAAAAAAAACACCTTGTGAACAGAGGAACTAAGGCCTAATTAAACCTTTACTTGATGCCAGCACAGATTAGGAGAAGGCTGGACCCCCATCAGAGAAGCTCCCACAGGAACAAGACCAGCAAAGGGATATCAAATAAGATGTTCAACTACTCTCTCAACTCTTCTCTTTGGCAACCACCCAAGCAGGTAGAAAGGTCCATGTGGGGCAGGTTGGGAGAAACCCTATAAAAACCAACTGGAACAAAGGCAGAGGGTCCAATGCTACAGGAGCACAAGCACTGTTGTGCTCACGTGGTGCGTATGTGTTGCCCCTATCTCCCCTCTAGACATGTGAGCTTTCATACTTGAACTCTGGCATGTGTACCGTTTGATTTCCTCTGCCTCCCTGCCTCTTTCTCAGTCTGAGTCTGTCTCTGTCTCTGTCTCTGTCTATCTCCATCTCCATCTCTCTCTGCCTCTCTCTCTCTCTCTCTCTCTCTCTTTCTCTCTCCCCCCTCCCCATCCCCTGTCCCTTCTTCAGAACTCCTCAGAACTTCCAAACAGGTCTAGGCTTACGGCTGACTTTCCTTTCCAGCAAGGAGCAAGGCTGACAGCTGACTCAATTAGTCCTAGATTTCCCCAGCCATTCCCTGGGGCAGAGGTGGATAGAGAGAAACCGGCAGAGGCTGTGGCCTCTCTCCTCCCCAATACACAGGTCACCCAGAGACCCCCACGGGCATCATTAACTTTCAAAAGCAAAGAAATATTAGTCACCTACAAGGATAATTCAGTTAAATAACTGCCCCTAATTAGCAGAGAAGATAGAGATCTGTTGTCTGCATAATAGGCGAGTCTCATATGTACAAACCACTACACAATACTCTTTAGGAGTGAATAACACCAAACTGATAATAGTAGGTCCCCTACAATTTCTATACCACAGAGTAATCCAATTAAAACAGCTTAATAAACTGATGAAAGCAGTTAAGTCTAAATCATCTGGCCTTCGTGTTTTAATTGTCTGCCTCATCATCTTAGAATAAAACAAACCAAAAAAACCCAGATACCTTTAGCAGTCATATTTTGACTCCATGGGCAAACCTAAATAAATAGGAATGTTGTAGTTCAATCAGCTACAAGATCTAAACAATTGAGTTATTTATCATGAGCGAATGCTTTTTTAAATGCTTCTATTATTTATATACAATGAATTAGATGTGCATATAAAGCTGAACTTGAGTAACTTTCTCCAGTTGAGTAATGTACTGCCATGTGGTAAACAGAAAGTTCCTCGCCAGATGAGAGACACACATCTGGACTCTGGTAGCACTATACTTGTCCTTGTCACTGCAACCATGTCACTAAATTCCCTCCTTAAGGGAGTGTGGTCGGGTTCTAAATGGTACCCTAGAGTAAGTCTGTGAATTGCAACCCTTCATCATCAAACACTTTCCCTTTACAGAGGCTGACCCTAAGCCTAGGAGATCCTTGCCTATGGTTATGTATCAAAAAGAACAGGTTTCCCAACTCTTCCAACATGCCACAGAGCCCATTTGCTTTCTGTAGACAATGTTTATTAATAT